GATGACTATAATTTGTATGTACCGTTAGATAACTGTAGTACTATTGTATTTAAAAATAATCTAAAAGAATTCAAATCTTTATCAAGATAGCACGAGAAACCATTAGCTAGAATTAGCTAGATTTCAAATACAACAGATAAAAATGATAATACAGCAGTACTTTTTCAAGACAATAAAAAAACAGGTACCTTATTATTATATTATTATAATATAACTTTAAAGGGTTACCAGTCACATCTGCATTATCTGCTAGTCAATTTCAACAAAATAGTAGGCTGCAGTTTTCAAGTAGAGCAGGTAATTGAATTTATAAATGATGTATGGAAAATGTACACATTGTATAGTATAGTCAAAAATGTATTTAAAAGTGGTTGTACCCGTTCTCATTATCATAAGACGTCTTTTTTTTTCTGCTGGATATTGTGTTAGTATTATTGCAAATTACTTGATTCTGATTTCAAAATATTGAACAATTCTTTTTGAACATAATAATATGCAAATGTGGGCAATAGCTTGAAAAAAAGTTATTTTTTTAAAATGTTTAATTTAACTAGTTATTTATTATTGATTTTAACTTATTAAATTATTCAGTTAAATTTTGTATTATTTTAACTTAACTTTTTATAATAAATTATCATTATTGTGCAAATAAGTTATTTTAATTTTTTTTTTTATCATGTGGAACCAACAGTCAAAACTAATTCTTTCGATTTTGATAATTTATTTTTCTAATATCATTGATTCATAAAAATCAGATTATATTTTATATAATTATTTTATATATTTTAATATTAAATAGTAATTATAGTTAGTATATTTCTTTTTGTATGGGCCTGCTATTTTTATGAGTTTTATCTAACGATCTACTCAGTATTGAATAATTTGATATGACGCTTTTATTTTTACACAACACATATCTTAATTGTTAATTTTTAATTTTAATAACACTGAAATTCTAAAAGCTTATTTCATATTTTATTTTTACCAAAAGTATTTTCCTGTTGTAATTTGCTGATTGTAAGTGTCAAGTTTACAATTTTAAATCATGAATTGTTTTTATTGTTATTGTTATTTGTTATTATAATTATTATTTTACCGCCTTACAAGTAGTACATTACAGTTAGTAAGTGTCTGACTGAATAGTACTATAAATAAATTATAAAATTTAAATATGAAATATTATTTATTTCTGGTATTATAATGTTTTTAAGACAAAATTATTTTAGCATGTGGTTACTTTAGGTAGTAGGAAACTATCATTCTATCACTAATAGGTATGCATTATTTTCCTTGTTTAATACTTTTGAATAATTTTTCTTATAAAAATATTTTAATATTTTATACAGTGTATTTTCACTTTATAGGTTCTTCAGAATTTATTATTTGATTTATACTAGTTAATCAAAGAGTATTTTTTTAGATTTTTAAGGATAATTATCATTATGGAGGTTTTTAAGGTTTGACATTTTTCTGAAACTTAATATATATTATAAAATATAACAGATAGTTTAAGATAGTAGACTTATTCACAGTAAAATTTATACTAATATCTTCTCAAATAAGTTATAACTATAAACTAGGTATGTATATATCTTAAATAGTTAAATATTATTAAAAATTATATTTATCATTTTTTTTTTTTTTTTTTTTTATTGTGGTGAGATTATTGATTGATTGGGAAATAAGGTATTTTAACATTATTCATTTTAGTTTTTATTAGCATCTAATAATAACAGTTAATATGTGAATATTTTTGTATAGTAATTGTATTATTTATTTTGTGGTTTACCTGAAATTATTAATCTTAAATAATAAATTATGTATAGATATAGTCTATAAGTTACTGGTAACAATGTACTATAGTAACAATTTAATGTTTTATGTTTACATAGATTTAAATGTCTTGGTAAATGTTTGTACAAATCAAAGTACTAGAGAAATATATGATTATTAAGATAACTTCATTGAATTACTTAACTTGCCAAAGTTAATTATTTTCATAAACTTGGCCATCTTTAACAATATGTGTATTGAATTTTTATCTGTTAGTTGATTTTTTTTTTTCTACAATTTTTGTATGAAATATCTTTATTAAAATTAATAAATATTATTTGTTCATATTGCCTTAAAATCTGAACCCAAAAATAATAAAATATTTAACATAATAATCAGGGCTCAGATTTTATAGCACTGAAAATAACTGGAGTTATTACATTTGTTTTTCTCATAAATCTGTATGTGTATAAATAAGCAATTAAATCCTCATCATATACAAAGTATAGTACAATACATTAATTAATAATTTAATATTATTTATTTCATTGCTCTGTTATCAAACTACTATTATTTAAGCTGTCTCTCAACAGTGAAATGCATTGTTCCTGCTGTTGTTTATTTACAGAGTCTGTATAAAATAATAAAATATTGTTTCTTTTATTACTTACTAAAATTAATAATAAATACTAATTAATATAACAGGTAACAACGTATGATACAATAATATAAAAATTTAAAGTTTCACAACTGTATATAGTACTTAACTTGTATATCTTGTAATAGTTAAATAGATTTTATTAATTTTTTTAATATTGTAATAATATTGAAATAATATTGTTAAAATTTGTTTAAATAGAATTCTTCTGCCAGAATTAGGTATATTATCAATAAGGTTTATTGTATGTATTATTTTTTTTCCAATTTTTCAAACAATAGTACAATAATAAATACTGATAACTAGATATTCACATAATCCTATCATATCTTGATTTCCCATACAATCTGCCCTTTATACTATTAGTTAAGTATATATTAAATTTAAAACAAACTAACAGGTATCTACATATAATATTTAATATAAAAATTTGGGAGTTTAACAACTGTATACCTACTGTAGTGTGATTTCTATTAAGTTATTAATTAATACACAATAGCAGGCATCTATATAGTATAATAATATAATATGAAAATGTGTAGTTATAAGTTGTCTTCTTAAATACAATTTTCTCTGCCTACGGCTATTATGTATTTAATACAAAATACTGACATTTAGACATTGCCCGAATCTCTTCATATCTTGATTTTCCCTGTATTTTAAACAGATTAATGTAAATACTATTTTAAGTGCTCTGTTTCTAGCCCCCCCTCCCCCTCAAAGGATAATTTCAATAGAAATATTTATGATTTTTCTATTTTAATTAGAAACACATTTTGATATTTTTAAAACATTTTCCATTATTTTGGCTAATACAAAAATATTTTTAAATTAGAATATATTAATACTAAGTGCATGGCGGTAGAAATAAACGGAACGTTTTGAACTTATCGAATTTCGTACTAATGTGTATTCGGTTTAGTGAAGGTATAGTATTGATATCATGAAAACTCGATTGCGGGGACATCGATTTAATAACTTTTCCGATTTGTTTTCTATTCGCCCCATTTTTTATTGTATATAAACACAGAACACTGACATTTAGACATTGCTCGAATCCCTTCATATCTTCATGTCCGAAAATACTGGCGTCTAGACATTCCCCGAACTCTTCTGTATTACTTCTCCTATATTTTAATTTCCCTTGTATTCAGCATCATTATGTATCATACACGTTATAATTCATCCAATCCGCCGACTGTATCCTGTATCACAAGAGTACCTGGAGCCTAGAAGTGGAGCCGTGGAACCCTGTAAAAAAACTAATGTCTAAACGTTTCTACCTGTTCCCGTATCTCAACCAACTTCTCCCGTATCCTTATTCCTCCAGCATCCTACATGTATTTGCCCTTCTCCTGTATCTTACTTAACTCCTGTATCCTACCCGACAATATTTGACGAGCATAAACACCATAGTTCCAACCATACTGATAAATTCGACATTCAACATTCGAGCGATTCTTCTCTTGTGTGAGACGCATTTAAAATTTGTTAAAAACATCAATGGTGCAAGATCGGTTTTCAAACTTGGCCATTAAAAATATTAAGAGGGATATGTCCAATAATATAAATAATTATGACATATTGGAAAAATATAATAAATTAAAAAGCCGACGGATATAGAATAAATAGAATATTTTATAACAATTATTTGTATTTATTTTTTGATTATAAAATTATAATATAATATTAGATTTCAAATTTAAACAAATAAATTTGTTTGGGGCTATAGCCCTTCCAGAAATTTTATCTTAATTGCGCCTATGATAAACACATAAAATGGGTAGGTACTTACTATTTACTATGCATTTAACATATGTTTCATAATAAAATCTATTGTATTAATAATGTACTGTATTTATAATGTAACCTATACAATTATTTCCTTCCTTGAAAATATTGTTTTTAAACAGTTGGTACCTTTTTTTGAGGTTATGTTGCCAAATTTTGGTATCATTATTAGGTATTGTGTAGTAGTGTATTCGTGTGCGTATGACCTCATTTCGTTCCATTATTCCATTATGTTTTAATCGTTCAAATTAATATTTTAATCGGCGCATGTGTAATTGTTAATTTCTACCCAATATTTTCTGGTTATTATAACGTTAGTCTATATTCTATACGATTGTTGTACTATTTGTTGTGTTTCAAAAATCAATCAGCCACTATGAATGTTCCCAGTGAAATACCTATTGTTTTCACAACACCAATTTTGATTCCTGGGTTTATATTGAAAATTCGACTACAAGTTAAAGAAAAGTAAGGATATAATAGACATATTAATATACGTACTTAATAAATAAAGTACTAATAAAGTTAATAATAATTCATTTAATAATATTCTTATCATATTTTTGAAATTTTTTTAATTGTGTTTGTTTTTTTTTTTTTTTATGTAAATTGTTACGATTCTTATTACTATTAAAAATATTATCGAAAAATTACTAATTCTCATAATATTTACATTTTTAACACTTATAATGTAGTGGCGTAAACAAACATTATATATAAAAAAAAAAAAAATTTAATTTCAATTACTTTTATAGTTTTGTGCAATTATACGTAATATATTTTATAAAAAACTAATATATCGGAGACCAATAAGGTATTGGCTGTGTATATGGAGTTATCACAGGGGACAAATAATTTTCAGTATTATCAGAGTTTTTTACACGAAGACCAAATTGTTCTAAATCTATTTTCAATAAGTACATTAATAATATTGGTACTTCTTGGTATTATTTAATGAAAGTTATTCAAATTAATAACAATAAAATCTGCTGTCATAAATAATAGTATAATGAAAGTTATAATAATTATTAATAATAAAAACTGCTGTGAAAAAAAGGAAGGTAATAAAAACATTTGCCTATGGTTTTATTTGGCACAATTTTATTGTTACCATGGATTTATTCAGCAGTTCTCTTTTAAATTTTATTGATATCAATGAATAATTCAACCATTTTATTATTTAATTTTAAAAGTAGATACTTTTAGAAAAGAGTCATGTATATATATAGGTTTTCGCTCATTTGAAATTATTAAAAATAAACGGTTAGTACATAATGAATTTTGTAAAATTTATTTTTGTAAATTACAAGCTTGTCCTTTATTTTAGGTGCATTTTTCATCAGAAAAATTATTATAATAATTAATAGTTATATTAATTAACTGAAATATCAGTTACATCTAAGAAAGGTACCAATTAAGTAAAATCATGTAGGTAACATACTTATTAATCTTCACTAGGTACAGTATTGATAATCCAACATATTCAGTAAGCTTGGGTCAATTGAAACAAATTAAATTTCCAAAACATTTGGTTCATTACCAAATAATGACTTTATTATTAAGTAGTAGAATTTATCAATATTTTGTAAATTTTTTTTAATGAAAGGGAGGAGGATAACTGGATTTGTCAGTTTATCACAACCCTATAACTTAATAAACATTAAATAGTATTTTATCAAAGTGGTAGTAAATTATAAATTCTATATACGCATTATTTTTATCTTAAAAAAAAATAAGAAAAAAAAATTATTACAAAATTTGATCACCTAATTATTATAAGTAAAATATGTTTCTTCCTCACCGTACCTCCCAGCTTGAATATAAGACCATTAACATAGACATAGAGTTATATTTTTATGTTTATAATTAAATTTAAGTATTAAGTGTTTTGATCAAATTTGAAATATGAAACAACTCTGTATTTATATATTTAATTGTTTATTTATGTCTATCAAATGTTATATTTCAGTTTCAATCTATTGGAGTATCTATTAAAAGATTATGGAGTAAACTCTATACCAAAACATATGGTCGGAATAATACCATCATTAGATTTTGAAAAGGTAGAGAATATTAATTAATTGAAGTTTATTAAAATACCAAAAACATTACTTAAAATTTACAAACTTAATACATAATAGGTAGGATGTATAATTGATGATGTTATTGGAACAATTGGTCTGGTTCAAAAGGTGATTAAAACTGGTTTAGTACCTGAAGAATTTTATATAGTTGTGCGAGGAATATGTCGATTCAAATTGAAAGAAGCTATTACTGAAGAACCTTTTAAAATTCATAAAATTGAAGCTATTGCTAATTTCAAAAAGCTCATTGGTAAGTTTTTCATAACTATTAATTTAAATATATTATTCTGTACTGAATTGTAAATTATTAAACATAATATTATAATTTAGGCGAAGAAGATAAAAAAGCAGAACTCATAACTGTATTTGAAAAAGTATTTGTTGATTGGATGGCATATTACGAAGCAAGCGTATTAGATCCATTTATAATGGCAAACCCAAAGGTTTAAGCAAGATAATTGTAAATTTTTTTTTTGTATAAATATTTTCACATATTTTCATTATTTTTCAGAGTATTTTAAAGGAATTTTCGTTGTGCGATATTGTGGATATTTGTTTAAGAAATATTGTACCTTTAAATCAAAAAGTTACCTATCAAATCCTTAGAGCTACAGATTTAAATCAAATATTAATAATTATTATTGAAGTGTTAAAACTTGAAAGTAAATAGTTTGACATGTTAAAAATATAAATTGTTTTAGTTTTCATAGAGACAAATTGATATGTAAAATATAAATTTAAAATTATATTGTTTGTGTTATAGATATGGCACACAGAGGTTCTAAATTTGGAAAATCTGGTCTTCTTCCATTTCCTCCTACATTATTTAATACATTGATCAGTTCTTTCGAACTTAATAAATCCAATGCGAAGAAACCTTTATCATGTGAACTACAAGAAATCGAAACCAAGCTTAAGTAAATACAATCTAGATAGTATATTATGAATTAAGTGTATTTCATTAGCATATATTTTATTTAGAGAAGAAGATATGCCAAAATCTGTGTATGACTTAATATTGAACGAATTTAACAGGCTTAAATTAATTAATACTATCAGTCCTGAGTATACTATCATATTAAATTATGTTAGTTATGTTGTTAATTTGCCATGGAACAAAAGTACAAAGGAAACATTAGATTTGGAAAAAACCAAAAATGTACAGATATTTTATAAGTTTAATAAGTTTAAAGTTGTTTCATTATTGTATTGTTTATTCACTATACAGGTATTGGAATTAAACCATTATGGTATGGATAAGGTAAAAAAGAGAATAATACAATTTATTGCTGTAAGAATATTGAATCCAGAAATACGCTCGCCTATACTTTGTTTAATCGGACCACCCGGTGTTGGAAAAACAACAATAGCTAAAACCATTGCAAATTCGTTAAATCGAACTTTTAAAAGGTTTACAAATATTAAACATACCATTATTTGAATTATTCAATAAATTAATAAATAATGGTACATTTTTATTTTAGAATATCATTGGGTGGTATAAATCATTACTCAGATATTAAAGGACACCGAAAAACATATGTCGGATCAATGCCTGGTTGTATTATTCAAGCTATTAATCAAGCACAAACAAAAAATCCTGTCATTTTGTTGGACGAAATCGATAAGATGGTAATAGAGTTAAATAATTAAAATATAAATTTACTTGATGAGAAGTTTATAATGTTAATAATTAAAAAGAGTAAACAGAAGGGTCACTGTTGTTGGTAAAAAGGTGGCTAGAAAGGAAAAATGGTAAAATAATTTAAATACTGGGTACAAAGATGTATCAAAACCGGATTCTGAAATAAGCTAAGTTAAACACATATGCGTAAATTTAAATCGGAAAGATAATTTATTATTTATTTGTAACTTATAATCCAAATATTATTAAGTTTTAAATTCAAACACTCACAAAAGAAAATATTATGTACGGGTGGGGGGGGGGCGGTGTTTAGATTAGGTTTAGTTGATGAATGGATCATGTTATATCGTGCATTGCAGACAAAATAAAAATAAATATTACAGTAAAAACTAATACTTTCCTTGCTCTATTCAAAATTTAAATATTTCTAATATCATTGTTCATTGTCCAAGTTTTTCTCAACTAGAACTGCCTTAGAGCTAAATTTTTTTATTTCAGGGTTTTGGTATGCATTATCGAGTTGGGGAGAAATATGTAAGTACGTTTTATGAATGCCATTGCACAAAAGTATTTACGAGATACTAATGAATTTTTCTATCATATTTAACTGATAGTAATGGAAATATAATATATATTTTTGATTATTTTCGAACCCAGTCATTAATTTTTTTTAATATTCGTCTGACAACATCATAATATGTAACATTTATAATTCTGAAATGTAACAATGAAAGAAATGTAGCATTGCAATACATAGCATTTAATAACAATTACGTATCTGAAACATAGCATTTCTATGTTCGCTTGTTGATAACAGACATTTTTAAAACAATTCAATGTTTCTGAAATATTTGTATTGAATATAACTGTTATTAATATTTATTGCAGTTATGTTTCATTCATGAAACTGGAATGAATTACAGAACCAATAATTTAGCTATATAGGTATTCATATGTATATGAGTAAATCAATAATCAAATTTGTTTAATTGATTCCAGTAATACTTTATTGGGCCTGTATAAATAAATATATTATATATACCTATATATAATAAATATAATGAGAAGAAAATGCAATACAATTAATTGATTATAACTTCTAACAAATAAATAAACCAATTGAAACAAAATACAAATATTCTAACTTTCATCATTATCAACAAATATATTAAAATATTAATTAATAATAAATTGTTAGATGTAAAGATAAAAATTAAAATTTTTTATATATTATCCAACCCAACACTTGAATACAAAAAAAAAAAAAAAATGTAATAAATATATTTGTCAGGCACAATAAATAAAAATATATGTATGCAAATTAATAATAATATCTAAATTAAGTATAGAAAAATTAATATTATGTTGATCATATGTATTTATTGATTCAGTCAGTTAAGTAACTATGTATTTAATATACTATCTCTGCTTGAACCAACCATCAACCGATTTGATCTTGAATTAATTATGTAAAACATTATCAATACTATACATTTCTTAAAACTGTAATATGAATTGAATAAGTAATAATTTTACATATATAATAAAATGTAAAGAATTACAATTATCACACACAGGGTGATTCACTAAGCGTGCTCACCCCATTATTTTGGTTAAATATTGCTTATATTCAAATTCTGATTTTTGAAATTTTTAAGTGTAGTTAAAGTCAATGCTTAGATTTTTCAAAACATTTAAGTAGTATCCTGAGGCGGGGCCAACTTTGGTTTTTCCAATTATGAGAACCTATATTAGAAATTCCATAAATAGACGGAGTATTACTTTAAATAAATTTGACATCGTTTAGTGAGTCGTCTTGTACATCATGACGTACATTTTTTTTTAAAAAAACTACTGATTCAATATATAATAAAAAAGTTTTTAGTTCTGTAGTTCACATTATTGTGATAGCTATTATTGTACACATAATTATAATAATCTAGGCCTGCTCGTAAAAAAATCATCAGTATCTTTCACTATTGAAAAACAAACTCTTCCGTTTATAAATATAAGAACCTTTAATTACACACTTGAAACAACTATGATAACCAAAGTGACTGTTAGTAGATAAAACATACAATTTTGATGGTACATCATATATACCATAAGGACATATATTATGTCACATATGTAATAGATTACCATTAAAATTAAATACATTTTTTTATTATTAAAATAATTTCATCAAAAAATTGTTTTAAAAACTCATTTCAATTAAATTGTGTTTCAAAACCTATATAATAAACACTTTTTTCTATTTAGTACTTGAACATAAAATAGGCAATAAATAACTATTTGATGGTTTTGTAATAGGTAATCCATCCAGAGTGATTAAAAATTAAATTTCATTTACATAATTAAGTTGTCCAGAAGCAATCATTTGTAAATATTTTTCAACCCTATTACACCAATAAAATCCATTTCAAACATTAAATAAAATATTACTAAAACTACTTTTACTAGTTTTTATTATAGTTTGAGGATCAATGAGAAAATTGAAATTAATGTTTTTTTTTTTTTTTTTTAAATGAGCAATAATTTGGAAAGTGCAGTCTGCCATATTATTATTAATTGACCATGTTTGGAAACATTTTTGTCTAGTTTAAAAGTTGTAAGTTAGGTTGTCATCAAACAGTGGGTTGAACTGGTATCACAATCAAAATTTACATCACTAGAAACAGAAACATTTAAAGAATTATAGTGTTCATAAGTTACGAAATATAAAAACTCTTCATCACATGGTGTTAAATTATCATTTTATTTTGATTTATCTGAATTATAAATACTATTTTATGAATCCAAATCTGAGCCATTTATAATATTTAAGATGTGTAACACATTATCACTAGCAGCAATTCGACATAAAGGTCTACTAGAAGAAGATCTAACTGATTTTAGATTCTGAGCGGACGAGGAATGTATTGGTTTTACAATGATGTTTTTTTTTCGTGAGATTTTCCAATAAGTGGGTAATAAAATATACGGAAAGTATTATTTGAAAATTGTAAATATTACAACCATTTTATTCCTGTGAACAACTTTTTTACCAGAAATTTCGCTCCGATTTTCAAGTCTAATACTTTTTCTCAAAGGGAATATTTCTAAGGCGGTACTTTGAGGAAGTCATTTTTTTTTTTAATTTCCAAAGAGTTTTCTTAATAAATAGGGAAAAAAAAGTAGGGAAAATGGGAAAATTTAAAAAAAATAATGTTTTTATAATTTTAAATTTTGCTTTTTGTATTGTTGTGGTTCAGTTTAAATGTTCGTAGAGTCTTAAAAAGTATACAGCTACCTTATATGTATCTTTTATATACGTGGTTAAATTTTCAAAAAATTTGAGTTTTTATAGACGTTCTAATTTTGAAAGTGTTTTCATGTAATATTTATTCGGTAGGTACTCACTCTGTGGATACAATTATTCGACCAAATACAAATGCTTGAACATTTAACATGCGGTTCGTTATTAGTTATACTTAATAGTCAACAATAAAAAATGGAGTTTAATTTGGTTTTTTTTTTTAATAAGAACTTTAATATCAAATTGTTGACGAAAATCGTAAATATTACGGCATAGCATTTGTACCATCAGCAGCATAGTTACTAAGTTGGTTTTGTATAAAATTTCATTGTTATTGAAGAAATTCGTAATAGCCTCATAAATACTTTACGCTGTAGCATTAGCTATTTCTTCTAATATTGCAAATTCGTCGTGTAGGTACTTGGAATGTGTTTTGGTTAAAAACCCTTACTAGAATTTCCAAATGCTTAGTTGATTTTACATTAGTCGATTTATTCACAATTATAGAAAAATATATTTTCTTCAATTTAGCAACTAAGTTTTCTAAACATTAACTTCCAATTGTATAATTCACAATAGTTGTAGGCTGTAGCTTAATTACAATTAAATGACATTTTTTGCACATCACATTCCGGAAAAATATTGTTAAACAATTTGACCAAATCGGCCCTTGATCTGATGGAAATATTATGTTCGATTATAAACATTGACAATCGTATTACAGCAATCTTTTGTCTACTTTCAATATCATTGTGAGTCTTAATACTTTTCATACGGTTAATTGGCGTTGTTGACTAAACTGCTTTAATACATTTTTGATACTATTCAGACATTGAGTGTTTGCGCACAGCTGATATACATCCCAAATTATTGGTGTTGTATACCTTGCAATGGAAATGTATACTTCCTTCCTTAATGCTATTCAACCATGTAGAATAATCAGCTTCATTTTTCCATCCATGGCGGTACCTAAGAGTGTATGGTTCTTCAGTAGGTCATCCTTTTGAAGACTTACTATTTTCTTCTTCACTTAAAGACATTTTAACGAAATAAAGATAACCACGGTTGGGTTATCATGATAAAAGTTAATTGGTAAATCCATTAGTCGATAACCGTGGTTAAAATATTATTAGGATATACCGATTTTTTTTTTTTTTTTTTACATATATAATTTAAATCTAATAATATAAAGATTTCCAAATAGATATTTTAGTGAAATATATTTAAAATAATTGTTATTATTTAATTTTTTGAAATTCTTTGCAATTTGTTTTATCCTTTAACTATTCTTCAAAATTTCAATAAATTCCCGGAAAAAAGAAAAATCCTCACATCTGGCAACCAAGATTTTAACTTAAGATCCTAACTTTTACCTTACCGAACTTAAATTTAGAACGTTACTTGAATTAGCGAACAAAAACTAAAATAAAACCGTTGTTTACATGTTATTGGACAACCTAACCAAACTTACCTAACTTTATTATATTTATAACTTACTTATCATTTAGTCACGCATTTATTCATCGCGTATATGCATTAAATTATCATGTGTTTGACAATTATAATAATAATTGATAACCATCGAGATAGACAAGAATATATCTAGCATCAAAGAACAGAGGTCGGCGTCTCACTCGCAACCGGACGGAAAGCAGGCCTCGAAAATCACGTTCACGCGTCGGCCGAACTCGTCAACTGGGCTAGTAACAAAGATCACCGCAGAAACGTTTATTGGGAGTTTCAGCAGCCAGAACTCCATGATGGCGTCTTCAGTGGTGCCCTTGGGGAGGACTACACTTGGCGTGGAGCCGAAATGGAAGCAGGCCGCCGGGCGCACATGCATGTGTGCGTACGAAGAGCTCGACTCGACGAGCGCCTCGGTGAGATGCTTTCGAATGGTGTCGTATGACAGAGACAGGCCTAGGAGCCCGGTGGCCATTCTCACGGCGTCGTCAATGAACGCGGAAAGGACGAAGTTTACGTCGGCGAAAACTCGGCATGCCAAGAACAAGTCGTTCTTGGTATGCCGAATTACCCACAAGGGTATATGTAATGTATTGTATATGAAATGTTTCGGGAATATTAAACATTTTTAGAAACGAATTTTAAGCATTGTTCTATTACATTTCGTTTCAGAAATATAATTGTGACTAGTGATGTTGTTAGGGATCATACTCTGAATAAACCTCCCTACGAGAATATAGGAATTAATATCGCATACATAGATATACGTATGTGCATATATGTTTTAATAAAACAATTTAGGAAACAGTGAGCAGCGGTATTTACTTAGTAGTTACTTTATTAAGTAAGTTATCAGACTATTTATAAATAAATTTAAAATTGCATTTAATAGAAATTTACTAGAATACTATTAGAATATTTACTCAGTGTTAGACTATGTTAAACTTTTTTGTGGATTTGTTTAACCAATAAATTCATAAACCGGATTATAGGAATTAAATGGTCAATTGAATCAAATTTTCACTTACCAACACTTATCAAATTACCATAACAATTTAACTTTGCCAAATAAATACATAATTTAGTATTTTATCAATCTTCAGAAAATTTTTAATTCATGAGAAACTTTGTGAATACATGTTTCTATATTTTAAGGACTCTTATATTTGTATGTAGATGATATAGAATTGTAATTTTATTTGAAAAGTAGCCAAACTCCATTTTTTAACCCCTTTTGTCACACATGAAAGGGTTTAGCTATGAACAACAAAATTGCTCTCCTATATCAATAAACGAAATGGGGGAGAGTGTGTTTGATCAGCATTTAAAAATTTTTTCTTCATCTATAAAATAAGGACCACTATATTAGGGGTACATATAAATTTAAAATTTATTAGACATTTAACAAAAAAAAAAGTTAAGACTAGTTAGTAAATTGTACATTTCTAAACTCAAAATTTGTGTATAACATACACTTTTGTATTTATTCTTTAATGTTTTATAGGATTATAATATTATAATAAAATATAAACCGCTTATAGTGACATTTGAAGTACTATTTAAAATTGGTCATAATAGCCGATTGCCATTACCTATAATCAAAACGATAAGATAAAATTAAAAAAACCTTGATTATGTATTTATCCGAACGTAATATTGTATTACAATTAATTACAGCGATATTTTTATGACTAAATCGTGATTTCAAAACAAACACAACAAATTTATTTAAACGAAAAATGACATTTGCTTTTTCTTCAATAATTGTAAATCGTTTTCGTTCGCTCATTTTACTACAATTCAACACACCGATTTATACACAAAACACAGTTGATTGCACATTGATTACGATTGAGTATCTACACTAACGTCAGTACACTGACGATAAAATTACGAAACAACAATATATTTAGTATTACCGATTGTTATATTTCCTGCGATAAAAAAAAATTAACATAATCATTATAGATTACAGATTTTTCAAATATAACCAAAAATAATCGTCATAACATCCGTTCCGTATAGTCATTATACAGACGTCATAATAATCGATACAAATGTGTAGATACACTGTACATACCATATAGGAGTTTTTCCGGGACCTTTAATCTAAAATTATTATTACACTCTATATGTACAACCGGTGTTATTATAAACAGTATCAGCTACTGTATACCTGTCTTAACCTAACTGTTAAGCCAGTAGTGCGCAACCTCAGGGTCACGACCACTAAGTACCTACCTAAATATTATAACTGATGATTGATATAGTTATGTTTTACATAAATATTTAATTATTTAAACAAAACAATTATAATTATTATGTTGTGTTGAAATAATAATAATAATATTATTTTTATATTTAGTATAACGGTTCTGGCGGTGATCCAGCTGCTGCATTGTTAGAAGTTTTGGATATTGAACAGAATGACTCATTCATTGATTCATACATCAATGTGCCATTTGATCTCAGTCAAGTTATTTTTATTTCAACCGCCAATAATGCAGCTGGTATACCACAAACATTGCGCGATAGAATGGAGTTGGTTTATTTGGAAGGATACACATCAGTATGACGATTAATACAAATTATTTTTTGTTGAAATAAAGTCAATTTAATTTTAATATAGGACGCAAAAATGCAAATTGCAGAAAATTATTTAATTCCCAAGATATTTAAAGATCATAGAATGAATGATAAACAAATATCTATTACAACAAATGCTGTAAAAGATATAAGTACTTATGCTCTTTTTGTAATTTAAAATATTGCATAAAAATAATAACAATTATAATAATTTGTCTATGTATATGTTATCAGTACAAAAATATACTTCCGAAGCTGGTGTACGTGACTTGCAACGTAAACTAGGAATAATCTGTCATTACATTGCTGTAAAAATAGTTGAAAACACAGCAGAAGAACCGACAAATTATGTGATCACACCAAAGTCATTATTGACAATATTTAATGTAAATACTGCATGCAAATTAGTTTTGTTTAAACTTATTGATTGTAATTTTTAGGATGAAAATATATATGATACAAAAAGTTATCTGGTGGAAAAGAGCATTAATAAAATTGGTGTTGCTATTGGTTTAGCATGGACTCCGGTAGGTGGTCAAATCCAAGTGATTGAAACATCTAAAACGTATTCAAAATCGATTAATGATCTCTTGATCATAACCGGTCAGGCTGGCCGAACTTTAAAAGAGTCAATTAAGATAGCAGTTAGTTGGATACAGTCATTTGCCAAAAAAGTAAATCTATCTTGACATTTTATTGTTTTCGTTTAATAATAGTGAAAATTAAAATAAAATTCATCAAATAGAATAAATTCAACATAGACAACATTTGTGTTCACGTTCATCTTCCTGAAGGAAGTATTAAAAAGGATGGGCCATCAGCTGGGATGAGTATTGTATGTGCAATAATTTCGCTTATATGGAATACACCTTTGAGACCATTGATTGCCATGACAGGAGAAATATCTTTACAAGGATTTGTATTACCCGTATGTCATGTATTTAATTTTTTTTATTGAATTGTTGCTTTACTTAATTAGATTTTGTTTTACTTAGGTGGGCGGCATAAAAGAAAAAGTTTTAGCAGCATACGATTCGGGTATTAAAACCATCATCATTCCTGCACTTAATATGAACGATACAGTTGGTTTACCTAAAAAAATGAATGTAAGTTTTTTGTAAATTTTAACAAGGTACTTTCTAGGATACAATATAACTGTCCATTTATTCCATTATTATGCTATAAAACTGATTATAAGTAATATTAAAATAATTAATAAATATCTGATTTTAATGATTGTTCAAAAGTATAAATAATGTTAGATAATTTCAAAGAATAACCAACCATTATATATTCCTTTGAGTATTATACATAGAAAATTGAATTTCATATAATACTTTAGAGATTATAAAAACTTTGAAATTCTATAACTAAATATATTTCCAAATATAAAATTATTAAAACAGACTACTATCCAAAACCAAAGTTTTTGTCAAAATCCTTAGTGTGGGTATACATATTTTAAATTAAAAAATATAATGATTACTAAAATTTGTAATTTTTAAAATATGTAAAAAAATTAATACCACATATAAGATAAAATTTCACTAGAATATTATTTATTTATAATTTGTTAACATTTTAGATTCCAAAAGTAGCGAGGGAACTATTGGTTTTACAATGCTGTATATTTCTTTATCTTTTTTTCTTTCGTTGTTCTAGTCTGTGGACATGTTTTTTCCTAGTAAACTTGCTCCGATTTTTACGTGTAACAACATTTCTGAAACGTTCGCGTTCAACAAAAATAATCAATAACAAGTCTAATATCATGTGTAATAACACATAAACTTAAAAAAAATACAAAAACTGAAATTATGAACGGTGAGCTACCATATATAAAATTCCGAAAATAAGTTAGACACAACAAAACCACTTAGAAATATTTCCGAGAAAATTATTAATATATTAGACGCACAAAAAATATATTCACAAGCTCATTGTATATCGGCAGATTTATGCCATACCCCTATATCCAAAGAAATATTAAAAAAAAAATAGTTGATACTGGAGATGGGAGCGGCCCCTCTGTTGTAGGTGAGAAGTTGGGAAAGTATGATACATAAGATTATTTTATTTATATCTGTGAGAAACGATAAACCATTGCTTGACGAAAGACGATTCCGAGCGCAGTTAAATAATACATAATTTGAAGTACCTTTTTTTTTGCCATTTCAGTTTTTAGTGTCCACGTCCACTGTTAGAAGTGTCCACTGTTAAGAGATTATAACTCCTATTATGTACTTATATTTTTTCCGGGGAATTTAATAATAGCCACTATTGGGAAGGGTCCACTATTGAGAGGTGTCCATTAATAGACGTTTAACTATAGTCTTTATTTGTTAGCGTTTTAGGATCAAATGTTGAAGATAATAATTATAAATATTATGGTATATTATCATGTTTTGTTGACAATAAGTTATCGTTGATTACAGATGAATGAAATTACTGTATGTATCCTAACTTTTTTTTTTTCTGTCTGGAAAATGAATACCAAATTATTTTATTAAAATAAATTAGATGTACTAAAATATTATATAATTTACAATTATTGAGATATTTCTATAACTTTTGTGTTTTTTGATTTAGGATGATTTAAATATCGTTCCTGTAAATCACTTGGAAGAAGTACTGGAAATTGTTATAACTGGTGGACTAAAATATTTGAAAAATCCGACAGACGGTGAAAAAATACCATCTTCTAAACTTTAGTTTTGATATATATAGTACTTAACTTGTATATCTTGTAATAGTTAAATAGATTTTATTAATTTTTTTTTTAGTTAATCAAATTGTAACAATCGATTCTAATGATTATTCTTAACATTACTTATTATTATTCTAACCACATTTTTTTTTTTATATTGTCATATATTGAATATTTAATACTTGTAAAATAATCGATCAAGGTTACATAGCACAATAAACCAGTTCCTTCACAAACATCTCTTAAACAGTGTTGCCAACTTAATGCGGCACATATTAATTCAAAATATTAATTACGCGTGTCGCTCACATAAAGGCTTCCACGTAGCTACCGCGGTGAAGTGGGAATCGTTTGTGTCGGAGACCACGGAGGGCGGAAATACGCCATACACGTCATTCAATAGGATAGGTCATTCCAACAGCTGTCTGACAGTCTGACTGTCCGAGTCAGTTGTCACTACTCTGGGTTCACCCAGCAAAAGCAAACATTTTTTGCTCACTCACTCCAACCATATCTTTTTTTCCATATCTGTACAGTAATTGCAAATACTTTTTTCTACCTCTTTATTTAATGGATTACGTTCATGACTATAGAATATTGAGTTAAAATATTATATTTCTTTGAGAATACGGGAAATTAGATTCGTGTGGTATTATAAAAACAGTTTGTGTAGATTTCCTGGAAATAACAAAATCAAATATATTGTTTATTATGGTAACTGTAAGATCATGATATAGCCAAACTTGTTGAGCCACTTTTGAGCTTTAAAGGAATTATAATTTTTTTTTTTTTTTTTTTTTTTTTTTAACTGCCTTTCAGCATCTTTATTTAAACGACAAATAGTCTTTATAAATACGATTAAATGAGTATAATAGGGTGGCCCTTATTTTTTGATATTGGATTTTTTTCAGTCTCACCCCCTAAATTGGTTCAAATATGTATATAAATGAAGTAAACAAAATTTCATATCGATAGATTAAGTTTAACCCGTACCCTCCAGCCCTAAAAGTTCAAATATATGGTTCTGTTCAAGTAACCACAGTGTTTTTTAATTGATTGACTGCTATCTCGTTGTTATCATTTCTTATAAAAATAAATTTCTAACATT